GCAGCTGCCGGGCTGCTGAGACAGCAGCGCTGCGGAGCGGCGGCTTCCGCCTGCTGCGTCCGGGGAAGGCCTGGCGGGGTGGGGCCGACTCGGGGCGCGGCGGGGTCGCCCGGAGCCCTGACTTCGGGGCTCCCGACTCAGGGAGCTGCTGGCGTCATGCGGGAACGCCAGGCTGCGGCCCTGCTTTGGCCTCCGTTCCGAGCCTATTTTTAGGCCTCTGGGGCCGGGTGCGGCTACACAGGAGCCGGCTAGCGCCCTGGGCAGGCCCTGGTGCCACTTGTTGCCTTGCAAGGTGTCAGGCCCTGGGTGAATGTGCCCCCAGGACTGGGCACATATAGCTAATTGATTCTTCCATGCACTTTAAGTTGTAGCCTGGGCTATGACAGCGACTGAGCTGCCATCTGAAGGTTAAAGCACCTCGCTGTCATTGGTCTTTCCCTTCCATTTGTAGGATTAGCTAAGTCTGGTGTTTATAGCATCTGACCTCTTCTTTTATTAATTTAATCTGAGAAAGCATAGCATTGTCACCTGTAACTTCTGAATCCTATTTATATAAAACTTTTCTCCACCTCCTGAATTCTGGGCCACTTTGAGGTTAAAGCCTAATTCATTGTGCTCAGTTCAAGTACTCTTGGGGCAAAATGGTTTTGAAATATTAGTGGCTCCGAATGTTTTGAAGGTAACAGAAGCAAGTACAGGCCCAGGTTGATATATGCTTCAGTTGTGATTACAGAATATAATTGACTGGAGCTGGGGATTCACAACTTTCTACATTTTAGTAATGTGAGAACTTTCTACATTTTAGTAATGTGATGGCTTGTTCTGAAAGTTGGCCCAATAGTATGAGTAAAACTGGTTCTCAGGTCAGCTACTGGGAGGTGCACTGACCCACCAGAGTGCCTACAACACTTTCCCTGCCTAGATGAATTTTCATTGCTTCTAACTTCTACATTGGAAAATGAGTAAGGGAAAATGAGGAAACCTGAGTCAGAGAGTGACAGTGACAAAGTCTCCTAACTTTCTTCTTGACAGGACCACTGCCAGAGTTTAACCAACTAATGTTAAAATCTTCTAGATCACAGGAAAAACCTGGAAAAATCTTAAAGTCTGGTATAATGAAGATTGTTCAGAGGGGAAAGAATATGTTTGCCTTCAACATGCTGGGGCTTTGAGGAAATTGGCATGTATGTTCATGTCTCTGTTAGGGGAGCAAGAGAATATGAGAGAGGGTGGCATATGGCTCATTCTCCCAAAGAAGTGGAGTCTGGCTATGGTTCATACCTGTAATTTTAGTACCTGGGAAAAAGAGGCAGGACAAATGCTTGGTCTATACAACTAGGCCCTATCTCAAAATAATCAGAGTTAGGGATGTAGCTTGTTGGTAGAACACTTGTGAAATATGTAGAATTCAGAAGCGTGGGGATTGGATCCTCAGAGAAGCATGGGAGTGAGAGGAAAGGAAAGAGAAGAGAAGAGAGAGACACAGGAGACAACAAGAGACAGATTTGTTAGAGCTTGCCTCTAAGCTCACCAACAGTGATTGGTCACTAAGAGACAAGGCTACTCTTAGAGGCTCACTCTAAGATCCCCAACAGTGATTGGTCACTAAGAGACAAGGCTACTCTTAGAGGCTCACT